AACCTCAAACTCCTGGACTCAAGCAATCATCCTGCCTTAGTCTCCCAAGTAGTGGGACTATAGGCATGTGCCACTGCACCCAGCTAATTTTTAAATTCTTTTGTAGAGATAGGGTTTTGCTATGTCACCCAGACTAGTCTTGAACTCAGGTAATCATCCTGCCTCGGCTTCCCAAAGTGCTGGAATTACAGGCATGAGCTACTGCACCTGGCCCAATGGTAGATTTTTAAAACATTTTATTACTTGAAAAATAAAAATTTGGCAGAACTATGTTTTAATGTCTTCTCTGTTTTCTCCCTCCACTCCCTATACTCTTTCTCTGCTGAACTAAAAAACAGAACATTTTTACTGGTATACGAAATTGCAAAGTCTGAGAAGTACTAGCCAAAGGATTTAACAAGCATGTACCTGTACTAAAAGCTCACTGAAGCATAGAGAGGGGAAACTATATTGACTATAGTAGTATTTTACCCACATCCCTCCCCAGCTTTGATACTGGGTATGTGACATTAAAGTTCTTAGCATCTCTGACCCTCTATTTCCTCATCTATAAAAGGGAAATAATAATAGTACCCATTTCATAGAAGTATGAAAATTAAATGAGATGATACATGTGAAATATATTCATACATACCTACCTATGTGTTTAGTTAATGCAACACTATACAGTGGTATATGGTAAAAAGAGGGTAGGAGGAAGGTCAGACCACACTGGTACAGAAAAGTATTTTATTAATTGACATTGTTTAGAACTACTGGAACATGGTGATAATTAGAAGTATTTTGGTGAGTTTCATTATTATTTTAAAATTCTCTACAGACTATGCACCACTTTCTTACCTTCACTAAGACACCACAGCAAAAGACCATAACCCACATTCACTCATTCACTATTAATTGAGCATCTACTTAGTGTTAGGCATAGTGTACAGCAGGGACTCAGAAGGTAGTACCAGAGTATGGTCACCATGTATTCTTAAATAAACCAAGGGTCATTATTTAGAAAAGAAAAATATTCACTTACCTTTCTTGAATTTATGTATAGGGAGTTTCTTAAGTTGATCTTTACGAAGTCTGTTTCTTCTAGCTCTATGTCTGTCCTGGACAAATTTTGTGATCTAAAAATAAAAGAGGAAAAAAAGGAGTCAGATATTAAACATGCAAATAGAAAATGGTCATTAAAATAACAAATATCTTTTAAGTTTCTGGATAGCTGCTGTAAATCAATTCAATTTATATAAAACCTAATCATAATAATATTATTAATTAAGGCATTAAATTCCATTAGTGATTAGTTAACCCATAAATTATCCTTCGAAGTTTTTATTCATTGACCTTGATTAACTTACTGATAGAGACATTATAATTAACATATAACTGCTTACAAAAATACAAATGATAAACTATGAGATACAAAGACTTCAATGGGTCAAAAAGAACAGGATGTTTGAGATTATTATAAGTTAAAATTAATAAAATTTTCAAACATATACTTACTAGTTACTGCATCTTTTGTCCTAGTAGCATAGTAGGCAGAGCTAATATAGAATACTTCCACTACAAATATTCAGACATGTCAGATAAAATGTACAAAATATTTTAAACTATAAATTGCTATGCTTACAAGAGTAAAAGGAAAGTGACAGGGCCAGAACCAAATGCCAAAATCACCATCCATGAAAGAAAAATCTGACAAATTTTACTATATC